GATAATGCCCAGTAACAGATGCCTTGAAGAAAGATGAAAGAAGCCTTCATAGGACTTGGTGATCTTAAAGGTCTTTTCCAACCGTAATGATTCTATGAATCTATGATTCTATATGAATATATATGGTGAAACCTGTCCTTAAAGGAAGTGTCTGCTTAACCCCTGTCTCTTGAACATGTTCTAAATTCCCTGAAGCAAGAAGGTGTATATCCCCTTTGCATTTTCATCCTATCTAATATGATTGTAGACATCTTAGTTATCTGTAATTGCCCTAATAGTAAATGTCTAATCCTCTCTTAATCCTGCTAGCCACTTGGAGCTCCATGAGATCTAGTCACCATAAGTTTCATAAGTTTATTTTGTATTGTGTTTAAAAATACCATTTCTTTAGGAGTTTAAATGGTAACACTGCATTTTAGTTTAGACACTTCATCTATCATTAAAGCAAAGAGTAGATGTGATCTGTTTACTTTCTCCATTTTCAATATGTTTTTTTTCCATTCTCTATATTTTATATATTGATAATAGGTTCTTGCTTCCTTATCTTCTTTTCAAACTAAGAAACTTTAATCATTTCAACCTGAACTCAAACTTCTATATTTACACCCACCTCCACTACACAAATTGCAACTTCCATATTCATATTTTTTCTGCAACAGAAATTTGGGATGGTGTCATATTTTATGATTTATGTCTTATGACATGTTAGATATGACTGTAACTTTGTCAGCATTCAGCCCTCTTCTTTATATGGCCAAAATATTGTTTCTTTCATCCATAGCTGCATGCTGATTAGCTGCTTTCTCTGTGCTCTTAGAATATGCTGAACTGACATCCGAACAATGTCTCTGAGTAGCTTAAATTTCTCTTTCCAAAGAAGGAAGGACTAATTCAAACTACTGTGTATTCACTAACAGTGAAACCTTTAATGTCAATCTACTAATTACTTTATTTTATTTTTAAATCTTTCTTTCAAAATCTGCCTGCCACCCCAACTAGCTTTCGGTATAATTTCTTCTCTCAGATCATTGCACCCTTTTCCCACTGTTCTTAGAGTCCACTATACTTTATACCCGAGCTCTGGGTCAGACCTGAGCTGACAAGTCTATTTGCCTGCACTGGTTTTTCAGCACAAAAGAGGGTAACCAATCTCTCTCCTTCCGTAGTCTGATATCTTACATTCAAACCTGCAAAAATGTACACTCTGGGTCAGTAATACTTGATTCTGCATATGCTTCCTCAGACCTAAGCCTTGGATTGTTGAGAAATTACTTTTGCCACCCTCCTCCTACTATGACATATAACGTATTTAACTCTAACAGTCTATTATGTTGGTCATTTTGTTTTCTGTAACTACAGGCTAAAATTGCATTTTAAAATCTGAAAACTTTTGCTTTAAGATGAAAGAAAAATTCTAAGACTACTGAAAGGGAAAGGGAAAAACAGATACTCATGATCTACTGACATCTTATATGTAGAAGAAAACTGAATATGCCAAGCCCCTTGTAGTAAATGGAAGAATTTCTCATTTTAGTTTTATAATTTCAGACACCACAGTCATTGCATTAAGCTGTTCTTAATGGCATGTGTTAAGCCCAGCTGTTTTAGAGTGTAAGTTGATTATAGCTACAGATATTTAAGAGAAAGGCTTATTATATTGGCCCCAATTATGTTTGGCCCCAATGCCCTTAACAATAAAATAACATCACTGACCCATCTTCACCATGACTGCAAGGGAAGGCAGAAAAAGTGCAGGAATGAGCAGCATAGACAGTGCCAGAAGACTCGATGCGATTATGTAACTAGGAAGGACTGAGTTGATCTTCAAGTAGGAAAAGAAATCTGGGAACCTGCCACACTGACAAAAGCATCCATCTGCCCTAATTTTCAGTGTTGAAAAGATGGCTAAGCTTGACTTTGTTGACTTATGCTTTTTTTTTTTTTTTAAAAAACAATTAATGGAAGAAAACAGAAGTCTCCATGCTGATTCATTGCAACCTGCCATAGCTGTGTGTCTGAGGATGATAGGAAATGCCCTCTGATGTTGCCTGTTCTCCACATGGGACTGTGGAAGGATCTAATTTCGATGTAGGCATCCAAAGAGCCATAAGGGACTTAGCTTTGATGTAAACTCCTACATTTTAGACAGCTAAATTAGGTTGGCTGTACCTCACCCAGTCTTCCTTCAGTTTAATCTCTTCACCCCTTTTCAGAAGATAAGGGGAAACGTGTGACCCATCCCCACGTAGTGCTCAGGGCACCTAGTGGCCCCAGCGACCACTGAGAGATGGATCAAAAGAGACACTGGGCACTTCAGGAGCACACAGCGTCTGGTGATCCAGGGCTCCTTGCCTCAATAGTAACTTCTCTTTCCATAAAAACCATGCTGAAGAGGAAAAAGGGGAATAGAGGCAGCATGAAAGAGAGCGAGTTGTGTTAACAACAAGCTGTGCCTAAGCTAAAAACTCGCCATTGTCTCTCCCCAGGCCTCAGCTTCCTTGCCAAGGACCTGGTGAGGAGGGCAGCAGTGAGCACCTGCTCGACCACAATGAGTGGGAAATGCAATACTGCTTGTTCAGCTCTTTGGCGACATTAAGTGCCACTAAAACACTGGAAGTGCTACATATATTAGTCAACTTTTAAAGGTATAATAGGAACTGGCAATCATTATTGGCTTGGCTTGAATCTGTGTCAGATTTGTTCTAGCTGAAAATAAAAAGCACAGCTATTACAATTTGAGTATGAAAACTTGATCATTAACTCATATAATTGCCTCATAATATATAAGGACTGGTTTATTTCTCTGTGATCAGACAAAGCAAATAAGCTCATAATTCTCAGATTCAGTGCAACTAGCTTTACTATTGGCCACACACGGCCTGAAAAAAAACAGCTCAAACTGCTCCAGTGAACACACCACATGGACCTACCACAGGCAGAAGAGTTGAGTGGGATGCGAACTCTTACACTAACCACAGGAAATAGGAGAAAAAATTTAAAAAAATTAAAAAAAAAAGCAGAAATACGCTTTTACCTCAGAAATACAGTGACGTAAGGCTGTGGGCTCACTGCCACCAGGCCTCTCTTGCACTTGGATTTCATCAGACAGAGCAAGGCTGTGTGTACCAATAGTTTCCCACACGGGACTAAAGGACTCACGGCCACAGCTCCCTGTGCTTTGGTGTTTCACGATACAGAACATCTGCCCCACGTGTCAACACGCTGCCCAGCCCAGAAAACACTTCCCTAAATGCTATCACACATTGCAGCAGAGGCCAAAAGGCACCGGCCGAGGGGCATAGAAAGAGAGTTGGAGGCATCCCCCAAGCATCACAGACATGCCATTTATGTAATTAATACATATAATAATTGAGAAGGTAATACAAGCATTCAGAAGTTAGGAACTGACAAAATTAATGTGACCATATTTAACATTTACCAAAGCTGTCTTGTGCAAATGTCTTATGGTATGATTCTTAATTACATTGCTACTGTTTTTTTTTCTGGTTTTCTTTTTCTCCTCCTTTCACTACCAAGACAAATGTTTCTTATTGCTGTTTTTTTCCCCCTTAAAATTTATTGTAGTGGTGAATAAACTTTTTTCTTGCCAACCACTTACATCAATGTAACTACAGTCCCTGTTCTACATCCATATACTAGGCATGCTACTTCCCAGAGCACAGAGTAGATGTGCAAGGTATCTCATCACCTGTCTGAGGGCTGGATTTAATATGCATGCACACAGTCAGATCAGATGCAATACCTCTTCTGTACAAATTCCATAAACCCACCGTTTCGGAAACCTTCCATGGGAGGAATTGTCCTCTGGAGGAACCGTTGGCTCTCTGAGTGTTGTAGAAGCTGTAGTGACCAGAACTCTAACTTAGACCTTGCTGCCGGGCAAGATGAATAAGCGCCCACAGTGCCTGTTTTTTTGAATATCCAGCATTTTTGTGGCAGTGACTGTGTCAATATCAGTGCACTCCCATTACTGCTGTGCTTGTTTTATAGCTCCGGGAGCCAGGGCTGGAGCATCTCACATTGAACAACCACAGGAAAGGTCCACACAGCTGTGGCTACCTTTGAATATGTAGTCATTTCAATGACAAGCTTGGCATCACATAAAAGCTCTGGGACCAAATCTATTTTTCCCGGATAGCTGCTAAACCAAAATGCTGTCCTTCTTCTTACTGCAGTCTTCTGTTTCACTCACTTTCCAGCATCTCCAAAAGACACGAGCCCCAAGAGACATGATATTTGGTCCTGAAACACAGATCCCCATGGTTTGAACAAGGGTTAATTGAGCAAATGGAGCTTACAGACCTTCCAGAGAAATTCATTCCTTCTCACTGGAAAAAGCACACAGAAAAGCACTGAATTAGCTTTAGAGTGGAAATAATGGCAAACAGGTTCATAAAGACCCCAAGACAGAAATATTAAGCACTTTTAAACTATTCATACAGAGATCTTTGTCCCCTCTCCTTCACAGAATTATGTGCTCAGTCATACCTGCAGAGAAAGACGCAGAGGAAAGGAGTCAGGAGGAGGGAGAGAGCAGTGTAATCTGACAAGCAAAGGTAAAAAAGACAAAATGAGGCAGCGGTTTCAGACTGGGTGATACAAACATGGAACACACCGAGGTTTAAAAGAACCAAAATTAAGAGCCGCAAAGAGGAAGCCTCAGGACTGACTACACAGTAAGAAATGGATCTGACAGAGCAGGATCAGAGGATCTAGGGGATGGGAAGATTATTTGATTTAGAATCAAAAGGCATGTTACAAAGGCAAGGAAAAAATACAGGTAAGAAAGGTAGCTTTTAGATACCACGTCTGAACAAATAGCCCAGAGGAACTTGAGACTGTCTAAACACCTAAATGAAAACATATGAGAAGTCCCAAGGCCAGACGTGTGGAGCTTTGCCTAGAACTCTAACCTCTCTTCAGGAGAAAACATCACTAGAGTACTGTAAAGCATAAATAAAACTGGTTAAAAGCAAAGTTAAAAACAGCCCTCACTTGAAATAGGCTTGGTGATGAACATCAATTCGAGAAAATTGAAATTCTTACCCCTTCTACTGTTCCTCTGCAAATCTCACCCATAAGCTCACTGCCAGGCTCTTGAAACACACGTGTGACTATTCAGGATGTTGTAATAGTCAGTGGGGCCTATTTTTGCAAGGGAACAGTCTTCAGAGCCCTTTTCAGACACGAAGAAAATGAGACTGCAAGACACATAGATTTCATCAGCCTTCTAAGTTGGCTCCATTAAAGCGGTGCTCGGGTAGAGCAATCACATTCGGGAGCTTTTGGGAAAACTTTCAAAGGCTCCCTAAAAATCAGCTAGGAGAGCCTTAAATGGAAGTCAGGCCAGGGCTGAAAAGGGATGTAAAAAACACTGCCTACATTAGCGCAAACATATCAGAATTCCACTGGCGTGCAGAGGGGATGCACTTGATCCACTATTTTAACACTATAATTATCTGCTAACTGATACATTCCCTACACTTTATAATATATGACAGAATTCACTGATCAAACAGAGTGTTTTTCTGTCAAAAGGGGTCAAATTTTTCTTTTTTAAGCCAGTGCCTGACTTGACCAGACTGCTCCCTATTAGTATTCGAATGGTGGCCTCGCAGCAAAGTAGCATGGAGGGTAGCAGTTGTTTTGGTCTGAGTCCACGTTGTGTTTCTAGCCCTGAGCATCGCCTCCAGCCACTTGCACTTCCTTAAGAGGATTATTTGCTAGTGATATTTTCTCAAAAAAAAAAAAAAAAAACATCAGCACAATGCGAGGCTGTTGCCTTTGCTTAGGAAAATAAGCCAAGTTAATGACCAGGCATATGGCCAGGAGGGACTATTAATGTCTTTAATATTTCTTGTTTATTTAGTGGTTTAAAAATAACAGCAGCAGCAAAACCAAACTTCTCTCAAAATTTAGCTAGTGCAGATAGAGCTGGTCTTATTGATCCTATGTCCCTCTTTCTCCTTTCTACCACTCATTTCCACTTTTTATTCGCAGAGAGGCATTTGGTTTTCAGCCGTATGAGGAACCAAAATAGATCTCAGAAGCAAAAAGCTCCCCCAGGTTGACCCAGGTCAGCATTTTTCCAGCATTTCCAGTGAATTTAGGCTATGCCGAGATCATCATTGGTAACGACTAGACCACTGAGGGTAGTCTCAGTTAAAAGGTATCTCCAGTGAGCAGGGTCAAGACGTGGAGAACTTCCCGTGCTGGTGGTGAAGGTGCCGTTGTGTGGATGGGGGCACTGACAGAGGCGATGCATGTCTCCCTGGGCTGAACTCCACTGTTTGGAGCAGTGCCCTCATGATGCTGCTCAGTTTCCCTTCCTGGTTTCTTTCTGCCTGGTTTCTGCCACCTTCATGGGAAGATCTCCATCTCAGGAGACCAGAATTCTTATTTTGGGGTATAATGAACTCTTCACGACAGAGACCGAGTTGTTCACTTCTTGAGACAAAAACTCTCCAGAACTCTTCATATTAAAGCTGGTTTGCTTGGAAGGGAATGTGCGTATTTCCCATACATGTTTCTGAGCACAGGAAGAGCCGGAGCAGCCAGAGCAAGAAGATCGTATATCCTGACGTGGAGCACTCTCACAGGAAGGGAAATATCTGAATTTGTACCCACCTCGTGAGATCCAGTGGTACAGCCAGGCCCTCATTCTGGCTCAGAAAGTGGCAATAGATTTTCTTTTGGGAGGGCAGGTGGGTTGGAGCACCAACCTGCAATGCACGTTTTTGTCCTCCAGGCTTTACCTGTGCTGTGTCAGGGGCTCTGGAGGGTCAGCCCTGCCTCGTGTGTGCTTATGGACCTATTTGACCGGTATCCAGAGCAGACCACACTGAGCAAAAGGAACCAAAAACACATTGCTGCAGACAACATGCAGCCCCGCGGAGAACATGTGAGTTTGGTCACTGCTTTGCATGAGTTGAGGGGTTCGAAGTACTGCATCCCACAGTCGAAGTGACTCCCGACAGCCCTTGCTTGCCGTTTCCACACGCTAATTCTCACCTCCTCCACCTGACACAGGCCTATGGGACACAGACAGTATGCAGCAAATATTTGTCTTTCCTAGAGACTGTTTCATTTTGCAAGAAAGTTCAATGCTTCTCACATTGCAGTTCTGTAGAAGCATGCTGGGTGAGACCATGAAGTAAAATGGTAGATACCATCCTCTTCCATCATCTTACACAATACCATCCTTTATGTACATACAAGACAGCAACACTCGATATAAATAACTAACAAATACCTGCCTCAGACACTTGGGTGCCCTCTCTTTATCTATCTCAGGGCATGGGAAACTCACAATTTCCATTATGGGTTACAACATACTGGTGTATATGTGCCCAGTGTATCTATACTCTACTACTCTTTGCTACACGCAGTCAAAACTGCTTCCCTGTGAGCCACAGAGCCCCTACCCGCTCAGCGAGGCAGGCTGGCGTCGTCCCCACTTTGCAATGGAGAAACCGAGGCAAGGCCAGCGTGGGTGCCTGGCCCAAGGCCACGCCGGTCAGCAGGCACACTGGGAATGCAGCCCAGCATTGGGGCACATGGAGACACAGGCGTGTATTTCATACCCTGCAGATGCGCTCGGCCTCCCCACATAGCCAGGGCGCTACAGAAACCGTCTTTGTTCTCTGGGCTGTGGTCCCAAATGTTTCTGCTCTGCTCTGAACTGTAAAACTCGCCTCCCCTCTCCGAGGGGTGTTTCTCTGTCCAGTGTTCGTCTGTTTCTGCCTGTTGCTTGACTGTGCTGTCTCTGATCTTGAGTATTTGCCAGCTTCTATATATTTGATTAGGATACGGGGCCAGCCTTGAGAGTTTGCCTGGACATTTTGAGTTACTGGGTTTTGTTCTTCACAGACACAAAAGTGATAGTGAGGAGAACTGCTGTCATCGGCTTTTACCAAAAATATTTAATTCTGTTTCCAATTACAATTTTTATTCATTGCAACCTGAAGCTGGATTTGAATGAAAGTCATAGTGGCATAAAAATTCCACTAGTCCCTTAGGAAACCTCTAAGCCGTGCAAGGACCTACCTGCTTGTAGGCAGAAATCCTTGTTGAACATAGGTCAGCTCTTTAAATAAAGAAGGTAGAATTCACAGAGCAGCCAGGACAAATTGTGAGCCCCAAAACAAATGTTGGTGCATTTGTGGGCTTTTCTATTATATATATTTTTTTCCTTGGGAGAAAGTCCTGACCTTGAAAGTTGTGTAAACATGGAAGTTGTACAAACATGTTTTCCCGCCGGCGCCCTGCTTGCCCTGTGTGCAGTACAAGGGATGGTATCACATACTCTCCACACACTGATGATAAGCTGAACTAACAAGAATATGAAGAAAATGTGCCAAACCCGCAGAGGGAAATGAAAATCAAATCCCCTTTCTCGCATCAGCGTCAAATTTTTATTTCTTGACAAGATAGGAGCTCACTGGAAGGGAAACGAAACGATTAAAATACAGATAAAAAAAAAAGTACCAAATGGCATAGTCAAGTCATCTACTGCCCTCCTGTGGCTGTGTTTAAAGTGCCTTCAAAGCATTTGGTTTCAGATAAAAGACTAATTTTAAAGTCTATATAAATAAATATAGTAAACTAGCAGATTGTCTTTATGTTATCTTTCCCCAGCGCTTAATGCTTGGCTATTGGCAACAAGACCATTTCTAACATAAATAATGACATACTATTAATCAGAATAAACGGAAAGTATATTATGTGTACAGTTTCAAAACCATGTGAAAGTGTAATGTGTCAACACATCTCCAGAATACATAGAACAATATATTAGTATGTTCCTATGACAGATTTAATATAAACAGTGCTTTTATCTGAAATTAAACTTGTATTTTCCCTTCATATAATACAGAATCCCTGTAAAATTCCTGGGTCAGACTCCAATAGGATTACAAAGTCTCATTCGTTTTCCTGTGTTGTTGCCAAAGGGGTAGGATTGGAATTGTTGAGTGCGCTGGAAGAGTTATTTTGTGGCTTTTGATCCAAGAGCATTTTCGGCATGTGGTGTATTTGTTGTTAATGTGTATGAGATTAGGGCAGGAGAGACATGTTCAACAATCTGAGACCAAAAGTTGAATTGATTCTTAAGAATTTCCTCTGTGCTTTTTTCCCACTTTTGCCCATCATTAATCTGCAAATCCATATTGCTAAATTTCCACAGGTGCACAGGTGCACCTGGCTTCTTTAAGCAGGAAGGAAAGACAACCAGCTGCCAAAGAGGCAAATGCTGAAGGACAGATGATGGGCAGGTTGCCAGCAGAAATGGCACCAGTGCTGATGTGAAAATCAAAGGCCAGCCGCCCTGCACCGTGATGCCCAGGTGCTGGAGCAGGGGAGGCCCCTTATTTGGGGAAATCCCTGCAGAGCCTCGAAGATGCTCCATAGCACCTTCAGTAGCAGCTTTAGTTGGACAGCTACATCCCAGTGTCCCAAAAGGAAGAGCAAGTAGTAAGGAACCATAAAAAACAGGGGCTAAGGAAACATGTGTGGCCCAAGAGGGGATCCAGGAGGCAACCAGCAATACTGAACCACCACTAGATCACCATCAAGTCAAACGCAGGCAATGTGCTCGTGGAGGAAGGAATCAGAAAGCTACAGGAACCCCTCTCATGGCTGACAACAATCAATCATCAGCCAGGACTCGGCAAAAGGAAGAGAAAGGGACACAGGTAATGGAATTATGCATGACTCCCTGACGTACCGATACCGCGAGATTGGATGGGACATCTGATGTCTCTCTTCTAGTAACTATACATAATTAAAACCAACAACAGTGTCACATGGGCAACCCCTTAAAGAAGGATGTCAGGGTCTCTTATGCAGCTTCTTCCAGAAGATCTCTTCAGAGTCTCTTTCAATTTTCCTGGTGGGATAAGACAGGAATATTTATGAAATTCTCTGTGTTTGGAGCCTCTTCTAGTGAGAGGAGCACATGGGTATGAACATTCCACACATGCGAGAGCAGCC